AGCTTCCCAGTGCATTTAAGGCTCCCTAGTGAAGTGTTCAAAAGGAAGTTTTAGTCAGTCTTCTTCAGGAAATAGCAACATCAAGATGTTATGCATATATAACAACATTTTGCCCGTTATGGGGCTAGTCTACACATAAGTAAAACCAGACATAAACAATTTCATACCTGCTCAGTATTCTGAAGTGCTCTTTATCATTGACCATGTAATGGTTTCCAAATGCCTCCATAACATAAAAGTAATGAGAGTACACTTAATTACGATATATGAAGGTACTTAAAAATCAACTGTTCATATTTTGTTCACTTTTCAAATAGGATAATTGCATTAAAATTACTACCTTCTACTTACTTCAGTTATAAACATCACTTTTATTTTCTAATCTCAGAAGAAAATAAGAATGTCAGCCAGAAGAGAGCAGGAGCCTGTTTTGCATTTTGTATCTCGGGCTCAGTATGATTGTGTTAGAGATCTCAAATACCCAGGTGTGTGCATCAGAGTTGTTCTAAATAGGAATATTAAAGTTCCTGTTAAGCTGAAAACAGAGCTATACTTACCCTTTCCAAACAGTAGGTCTACACAGGATTGACATCACAGTGCAGTGGCTGAGGGCCTCTATTAGTACCACTTACTGCAGATCCAGGTGAGTTCACTTGAAGTAGGGAGCAAAGGTAATTTTCAGCCATTTATCAGCCTCTTGATCTTAGCAGCAATTAAGGCTGAATAGCATAGGAGAGTGAAAGTTACTCTAATGTGCATGGACTGTGATTATTCCTGAGGCTCTGCCATCTGCAGGGAAATCCTCTCCCCTTCTGGGCTTCTCTCCTTTCTCTACAGCTCAAGGGGAGCAGCCAAGGATTAATGAGCTGACCTTGAGTCTCGCCCTCACATATTTCCAGTATTTACAACAGTAAATGAACACACAAGTTTTTAGCAACAACATTAATTTCTTTTCTTCTTTGGAAACGTAGCACTTTGGTGCATTCCAGAAAATTCTGCCTATTTCTATACCTACACCATCCATTTCCTTGTCACAGACCTGCGTGGCTGCTGTGAAGTATTTGGCTGGGCACTGGCTGTTGGTGTCAGCAGCCGTCACGCACCAAAAGCTGCCTTTGACTCATGCACAGTCCTGTGCATGTCTGAAGATGGGCTGAGGGAGACGGTTCAGGATCTCTGGTCTGCTCTTCACTGGCACTTATAGAAATATATCTTATTATTCTGCACCACCAAGTGGCCAGATTGAGCAGGGATTGCAGAACACCTTTGGATCCAGGCTTACTACATCACTCAGATGGGTTTGGTTATGCTGTGGAAGTTCATACTGGCCCAAACTAGCAACTAGGAAATAAAAATGTTAGAATATAAAGTCATATTTTGAACATCCCCTAAGGCGTTTTCAGAGGTGTGTTGTCAGAACTGCTTCAGTTCTCATATCAGACAGAGTTCTTTGGTGGGCTGCACACCTGAAACTCAGGCATATTTTAAGTATTTCAAATTCAGTGGTGGATGGTTCTGTAAATACAAGGCAAATGCTTCTGAGTACCAATGAATAGTTGTGCCAGAGGTAGGAAGAATGCATGTATCTTGGTGCTTTACCATTAGAGATTAATCCCACTGTCTTTAAAAACTGAAAAAAAAAATGGCATTTCACACAGAAAGATACATTACATGGTCTAAATAAGAGCTATTTTCCCATTCTTTTGTACCTTATATTTCTTGTGCTCAGGAGGATTCACAGTTGAACTCCTATGTAGTCACCCTCAAGGCACAAAGAGTGAGGTCTTGCTGATCAACACTGCTTGTCCAAAATCCCCCCATGATATAACAGCTGATTCCAATGCACGACATTACATATCATGTTTAATATATGATATTGATACTGGAACAGGATAGGGAGTGGTCCCTCATTCTGGTTTTGGGAATATCAGATTATGTATCAGAAGATTTCTTCTTTCAAGATGTTAATGAGTTGGGTCACCAGCTGAGAATCTTAAATAATAATTTCATAAATAGTATTTCCTTAAGTAAATTTCCTTACTTAAATCTTATTTCAGAGTATCTTACAGGCTCATCAATCTCATACTGGAAATCTTTGTTACCACAGGCCATATGGAGAGGTATTCACTGGGAATCAGGACCCAGCTCAGTGCTTTAAGCTTTCACATATTTCAGTGGGAGCCAGGCTTTTAACCTGCCTAAATACCTCAAGAAGTCCCTTGTTTTTTGAACGTTCAAGTTCCTAAATATTTTTCAATGCCCAGCTCTGTAATTGTATTCAGGCACTGTAATTTCACCTTTGTTCCAGTGTCTGGAAATTCACAGTTCCCTATTGCACATCATGTTGGTTCCATGCATTGAGATCCGGAGACCTGCAACGAAAAGTCTCTTACTTGGGCACATTTGGGGTTGGACACAGGCCATACACACAGAGCCTTAATCCTCGTGTTTCTTTTCAGAGTGGAATTTTTAAAGTCCCTTGTAAGCCCTGAGGTCACAGTGCATTGGTCCTGACCCATGTGTGTTCCCTGATGACCGAGGAACTGAGAAGTAAAATTGGGATGGAGGCACTCAAAAAGCTCAGAGGGGTTTTCTATGTGTGCCTCACCATCCCTGATGTAATGCATGGCAGTACAGGAGAAAACTAGCAGGGATAGCAGCAGCTGTTGAAAAACTAAGCACGAATGCTGAAAATGTAAGTGTGCTTCTGATTATTTAAATAAGGACAAATTAAGAAGGAAGAATAAAGAGAAAAGGCATTTGTCTGGAGTGCAGCAATGCCTGGAGACTTCTGCCACGATCAGAGCGACATTGTGCTGTGCAGGCTGTGAAGGATTAGCAAAAGGTTGAGCCAGGGGGACTTGCACACCAAATCAGTAAATCAGTCAAATATGAGTGTTTGCATTTTACAGCTGGTGCTGAAAAATGGAGAAAGATGAAGTGACTTGCATGAGAGTTGATTCCCGGTTTGCCCAGGGCGCTGTGCACCTTTGAAAGCAGTGCCACTCTGGGAGAAGCAAGCGTTGGCTACCACTGAGGAATGGGAGGTCACAAACTGGGTGTCGTGTTGTGCTGCCAGTGGGGTGGATCCTGACTTCCTCAGCCCACAACTTGCAGTTGGGATAGCAGAGAACTCTGTGGTAGTCTCTGTATTGACTGGTGGTGTTCAACCAGTGTCAGGGCTCTGGAGACAACAGGGTGACACTCAAGGTTAAGGACCTGACAGTTTTAATCTTTGAAATGTCAACAGTTGAGGGGGCAATATAACTATAGCACCTCAAATTGTAAATGACCATTTGCAAATGTCTTTTGGCTCCAAAAAAACACAAGGCTTCAGTGCTTAAGACTTGCTATATATTTAGATTGAAAGTCCCTTCTGTCTGTTGAGGTGGCTGCAGGAGCCACCACCACTCCTGTACACTGCTATGGACCAGCTAATGCCATTGCCTTGGGAGCTGGAAGCTTTGCAAGAGATCAAAGGTACAGAATAACAGGACACATTCATTCAGTCTTCCCTCAATATTGTGCCACATGGTTGTTTCCCTTTTGCACCTCAGGACACAGAGAAGGTCTTTCCTCAAAACCATCAGCAGGTCAAGCAGGCAAAGCTGGATGCTTTGCTTACCTCCTCTGCTTCATCCACAGGATCCATATGTCATTCCTGAGATTAAACCCTGGCACCACTTGGAGTCAATGAGCAGTTTGCCAATTATTTTCCAGGCAATGAGGATTTCATCCTTTGTTCATCCTGTGCCGACTGGGCTAACGATGTTCAATTAGAAACTGCTCTTTGTTCTAGTGCAGTCAAGAGGATTCTTGCCAATGATTTGAATGAGCATTAGATAAAGCTTATGGCTAAATCCAATCCTTATGCAGAAATCCATGGATCCCACTGAATTGCTTTTCTCCCAGAGAAATTAATGGGAGCTGTATGAGAACATCTAAGGGAAGATTTAGTTCCTGTTTGTAACAATATGTTACCCCCTGATACTGGGCCTGCTTTGAAATGTTTATTGTTAAATCCATGAATTTTTGGTTATATCTCATTAAGAACATAATACAGCCTTGGAAAGTACATTCTGAAAGGGTATTACAACTGGATTGGGATTACTGTTTGTGAGACACTTTTAACTAGGGGGAAATTTCAAATTCAATTTACAGTAATGTCAAACCACAATTAATATATAGGCAATGATAAGGGGAACATGCAGAAGTACACATTGATAACACTACATCAACAAATAAACTTTTGGTGCTAGTAATTAGGTACACAAGATTATTATATGTTTAATTGACTAAAGTGACAATTTGGAATTACATCTAGTCACATTTAATTGGATTTGGAATCTCTAGAGGAAAAGAAACAGAGAGCAATGTAGAGAGGCAGCCATAAAAGCAAACTGATTTTCTAAAGTCTGTTAAGACTCTGCATTAATATCCTTTGCACAATAGTTTTTTAATATTCCTCAGCCTAGAAAGAGTAATGCAATGATTGTCACAGACAGTGGGAGTACCAAAGCATACTCAGCTAGGTGACAAGACAGTTAATTACTTTTAGTTTGGGGTGGGTTTTAAGATATAGTTTAATCAAAGGTGAGCTATATCTGTGTTTGCCATAGATAAGTGATATTCCAAGACTGTCAAGCTAAAGGGTATTATATACATTGATACTGTTCCTAGAACAAATGTACTTACATATATTTCACCTACAAATAGTTTAAAGCGAGAAAAAGAAAAACCAGGCTAAAATATTGTATAGCAGCCATTAAATATTTGCTGAGAGTAAAATACTGGAAAGTTATTAAAATAAAATGTAGAGTTGCTTGTTGGCAGATAGCTCTTAACTAGCTCAAAAAATGTTTATCTTAAAGCTGGACAAAGACTGAGATAATGTGTAATCTTTTGGTACAAACCTCAAGTTGCACTCTTCTAATATTACCTCCTTTAAATATTGCTATTTGCATCCTGCTCTCACTCATTTATTCTGCTTTTGGGATCAGGAGCCCCATGATTGCTGACTGTATGTTCATCACGATGGGAGGCACCGCGTACGCAACAAGAGACCTCATCCGTCTGTATTGGCAGGCAAAAATTGATAGCCCAATGAGGAAGGAGGTACCTATCTCACTATTAAGATCAAAATGAAGGATTACTGCTTAAAAGACTGCCGACAAAGGTAGCTCTTGGGCATATCAATCAACAGGACACTATATGGTACTACTGTATTTATAATGAAGTAGACTTCCTTGGACTAATTTTAAGGGCAAAATTCAAGGTTGTTAACCCTTGACTCATACTTCAATTTTATGGAGTGCTATAAAATTCAATTCTGGATACTGTATAGTCCCCTAAGCTATTTTTTGTGACGTTGTCCTACCTTAGTGACACTTTCCTTTTGGAATTTGCATGGTGCTAATCCTCTGACACCTTTCAAAACTCTTCATCTGGAAGGGGAGCAAGAAAATGCCTGTAAAAACTGGTCTCAGAGGAACTTGCAGTGCTCTGTGAAGGATGACTAGGCAAGACCCCACTCTACAAAGATTACTTATGTGGGGAGTAGACCATTGACTTTAATGAGACTTGTCGGAGTGATACTTATTTGAAATGGTTGTTCAGTCCAATCAGCACAAATTTAAGTTTAAGGGTGTCCCTCCTGCTCTGAGGAGAGCTCTCACACAAACCTGGAGGTGAACGGATGCTGGATCCTTTGCTGGGAGATGCTCGTTGCTGCAGACTCCCAGAATGTACCTGGTCCTCAGGTTCTACACAAAAGAAGTTAAGAATACTAGGAACAGTATATGTACCATGTAGCAAAATTTCAGGGTTTTATTCTGATGGCATTTATTTTGATTTATTCTATGAGATCATCTGTGACATCTCTACTGTATATGTATTGGTACAAAACATGTCTGACGTAAGCCAGAGTAATAAAGTTCAGAATGTGATCTTTTATCTTCCCTCGCGTGGTAAATTTTTCCTTTTTTAAACTATTATTAGTTGCATTCTTATTGGTAAAACTGAATAAATCTCATTCCCAGGAGCTGCTGAATTTTCAGTACTGCTGTGAGTGCAAAGTGCATCTCATTCAGAGAATTACCCACTGGGCTACTGTTTGCAGTGCCTGTGAACTTTCCTGTGTGCTTTCCAGCAGAGAATTTCTTCTGTACAAAACAGTTTGATTTTTTTTTCCCCACTGGGTCAGACTTGTTTAAAATCCTGAGTTCACAAACAGGTTTTATGAAGGGGTCATTTCTTCAAATGGAATGTCTTTTTTTGTCTCTTAACACTGGAATCCATTGACTTTCCTTCTTGATGTCATGGACATGAAGCTTCAAAGAATAAACCTTTAAAGGGGGAGCTGTCATAGCTGTCCTCTCCCCCAGGGGTTTAGACTGTCCTGCTATGTAACAGGGCCGAAAAAGAAGCATGAAGGACAAGATTCATCACATTTCCTCCTTGTAGTGTCTAAACCAGAAGCTGTGGTTGGGTTAAGGTGGGAATGAACCAGAACTGAAGGGGGAATTGAATCACTTCCAGCCATTACCATCATCTGCCAGATAGCAAGGGCCAAATTATTTTGGCAGTGGTAGCACTCTGGCTCATCAGTGCTTCACTCCAGAGCTCACAGCTCATTCCTCTTCCTGATGGAAAGTCCATGTGTGGGCCTCCCTGGACCCCTGTGGTACCACGAGACATCACCACACTGTTTGTGCCCCGTTCCCACTCCTTCTCTGTGCTTCTCCCAAGTTCACTGTCATCTTTGACTGCAGGAGCTTTGAAATGCCAGTAGAGAGATCTAACCATTTGTTTGATTCCCCACTGAACTCGATTTCCACCGGGAGACAGAGATTGCTCTGCAATTTTGTGCTTTTTGTGTGCGTGCCTGAGCGTGGGCTACGCGAGGGATTCAGCGGTATCGAGATGCTGACACGCACGCAGGAGAGGCAGCTGGGTGCCCAGTGCTGCTCCCACTCAAGTTAATAGCTGGCACTCAAGAGAAGCTGCTCCTGAAGATATATCCCCAGCACCAGTAAGAACCTTTGCCCCCCGCAGCTGATGAGTTCTGTGCACTCAGCATCAGGGGTGGCTTCTATGTCATTAGAGCACACAGCAACAGTTATGCAGGATGATGCAGCATGTGACACTGCTCTGGGACTTTCCACCACAGAGAGACTGAGCAGAGGTAGCATAATCTTTTTTTATTAATATTCTCTCTATTTCATGGTGTAAAGCTGAAAATAACTTGTCACAACTATACATGCTCATGTGCTTTTGTAACCAAAGCAACAGCTATTGATGCACGCTTTTCTTGCTAACTACTCCTCTACCCCAGAACTCACCAGGATTGGCTCACAACCATGAGTAACATTTTCCAAGGAGGAAGGGAATAGAAGGGAAACAGGATGGTTTGTTTTTTCCTTCTGTGAAGAAAGACTTTTAGATTAGATACATCTTTGCTTTGATCAGTGGGTCATGTATATAATCTTCCGGTGTGTCATAGACTACTTTTGTTTCTTCTTTTCATGATTCTTTTAAGTACTGGGAAAGGCTTTTCCTCCTCACAGCCTGTCTTCCCCTTCTGCCATGGCTTCAAATCTTTGTACAGACCACTTGAATCCTTGAGCTGACAACTTCACTGCAAAAAATTCAGGCCCTTAATTTACATCTGCAAAACTCTTTATTTATCCTACTTCTAAATCACTGTTTTCTTTCTCTCCTGATCTATTCCTCATGCTCAGAGCAGTCTTTATCTTGTGTCTCCTCCGTTTTTCTTCTCCTGATATGGGTCTTATACTTTCCTTTGAACTTCTCCTATCCCTGACATCAACTGCCAGGAGTCTTCTTTCTTCAAAATCCTTCTTAAAACATCTTCAAATTGCTCCTCTCTTCATAATCAACTTTTACATGTTTCCTCTTCTCCAGCAGTAACCTGTTCCACGTGACTGTGTATCTCCTCTAAGGCACACTGCAAGGTTTGTATTCCTAGATTTTTAAGCCAGATGGGCTCATATTGGTGAATTATCTGACTTTCTGCATTAAAACACCAGAGAATTGCACCCTTAACTGCCTGCATTGGTACCGCAAGAAAAAAGCAGAGACTGGTTTTGAGAAAGTTACCCAATCCCCTTTTTAAGCAGTTTAAGGATAGAATATTTACCATTGCCCATCTAATAGTTGATTTGTTGCATGTTTTTTCCCTGTTTTTCTCCCCAGTTTACAAAATGGGATCTTACTCATCCAATCCAAACTTTCAGCAATTTATATTATGCATTAATTTCTAAAAGCTTAAAGAACCTTTAGTACTTGTTATCTTCTCCCTGTATATGTATCTATGGATCATGATCAAGGTAACTTTAAATATTCTTTTTGATTAGCTTTTTGATTAGCTTTCTCTGATTGTCCCCTTTAAAGTAAATCATCTATTTCTGGATCTTCTGTACAGTGATATGTAATATCTAATGCCCTGTGTTGGTTTTGAATATTAATACCCATCTTCCATTCTACTCTGAGACAGAAGTATAATGCAGATGAGCAGTGGAAAAGTAATTTGCAATGGATAATATTATTCAGTATGTTGGGCCTTTTTCTCTGTTCAAATATTTTATTCTGTGGATTGAAAATATACATTCCAAGTTAACACATCATCAAATAAATGGGCTTTTTTTCATAGCCCACTACAGATATGCACTGGATGATTTGTGTATTGGCTGTTAGATTGAAAATAGGTGAATTAAATAGAGTTCATCACAATAAATAATAATGGAAAAATTAAATGTAGTATGGTAAATATCTTCAGAGTGGTAGCAGCAAGACAAAGTTTAAACTTACTTATTACTATAATCGGGTAAGCTCCCTAGCATTTATTGTCAGCAATGCCATTTATCAGCTGGTAATAGCAAAACAAACAGTAAGCTTGTGATATTTCATCCCACAGAAAGAATCCCTCTCCAAACTGTCCAGTTTTATTCACACCTTTGCAAACTACTTCCACTGGCTAAAAACTGTGCAATATAAGCTGGATGTTTCATTCTGTGAGTAAAAATATATCACACCCATATGACAATGTCAAAAATTCCCAACACTGTCAAACAGGAACTTTGCAAATACCTTGAAAGTCACAGCCTGATTTCACTAATATCTGGCACTGCCATCTTAGTGTTGTGCCTTTATTACCTAATTTATAAATATCTCAGTCTCAACTCATTAGCACACTGCAAATACAATTCCTTTTATTATTTCATTTTGAAAACCGTGTGCCCTATTTTATACTAGAGGTTGAGATCCAGCATCCACCATGCACTTATACATCCAAAGTCAATCCTATCCAGCCAAAATCTCACACTAAATACCATTGCACCAGCTATGCATATGTTGCAGAAACTAACAGAACCCCAGGAAAGCATTTCAAAGCTTGTAGGTTCATATCTGCATGCTTCCATTGCCATCTGTACTAAAAGCCTTAATTCATGAACGCAGCCAACATGTATTTGCTACAGCTCAAATGGAGACCTTTAATTTGCATTGGAGTAAACCAGGCTTTTAGCTTTAGTTCCAGTTCAACTCCAGTGTTTTGGCCAAGATTGCAGCCATCACAGAGCTGCTTTTAGCAGATTGAAAATGAAACTTGTGTTTCTGAGGATATTTCTGTCAGCTAAACTCAATGCCACAGAGAAAGCATCCAGTAGCACATGCAGGTCTGTGTATTCAGACCTTTGTTTTGCACTCTGGTTACTGTTATGAACATCAGGTGCTTCCATTTCAAAAATATTTGGGCTGTTCCAAGCACAGAGCAACCTGCACATCACACAATAAAGCAAACAATAACCCAGCCCTGCGAGGTGGCTGAACACCTACAGCGCAGCGGTGAGCGCTGTCAGATCCTTTAGAGCTCAGCTTTATCTCACACCTTGTGGGGTGAAAATCCAAGGCAAGGAAGTTAAGGGGAAAAGCTCTTGGTAGCCAAACCCTCCTGTGCAGTCCCAGCTGGTGCCCAGGCCTGTCAGCAGCCCTGTGTGCTCACGCTTGACCCGTGCCCTGCTATGGAGCGTGAGGTTTCCAAGCTGGCAACGACAGGGATGTTTTGC